GTTCCCCTCCTGCTAACGTTAGCTCAGCACCAACCTGTTCAGACTAACTCTGTTTAAACCTACGCTTTATTAGGTCATGGAGCTCAGTTTTGAGGTTTGAATGCCACCAGCAGTGAGTTTCCTTTGCGGTGTGTGTGCTGCGTCACGCTGTGTAGAAGTGGAAGTCATGCTGAAGGTCTGATCTTCAAACCACTGATCCTCACGTTGTGTTGAGCTACCGTCGAGAGGCATGACTTCGGAGGTACACCGTGAAATGAACACAGAGACACGCACCGTACAACAATCTGCAGGAATGCTAAGAAAGAGATCTGCTGTCAGAAGACTCAGCAGGTTTCTCCTCTGTGACTTTCAGAGTTTGGATTCCTAGAATAGTCTCTCTGCGGGAACTCTGGAACTTTTGTACAAACATTCATGACTTCTGGAGGTATTTCTGCACTCGAGTGAGAGAGAAACTGTGGTTCGAGTTGTGTTTGAATCTCAATATTGCACTGTAACTGTGTGGTCAGCAGTGTTGTGCTAGTTACTGAAAACCAGTAACTAGTTACCATTACTAGTTACTTCATGTCAAAAGTAACTCAGTTACTTTACCAGTTACTTACACTCAAAAGTAATGCGTTACTGTGAAAAGTAACGTTTTCGTTACTTGAAAAAATGGCTCCCATTAATGCCCTTATAGCCTTCATTTCAGTACTGTTATTGCATTGGAGAATAATACAATCTGTTGATCAACTTGACATGCATTATATGCAATCTGGATTGCATCGATATTAGCTGGCTTTCCATTTTTGTATATTCTTTCTCCAGGTAGTTGGAAAAAGTGCTATCATGCTAACTAGCTCCCTGAAAGCGGGTGACTCCACTGTAGCAATAGCCTGCATGTGTTCTACAACATACCGTGCAATGGCTTTATCCACTTTTCCCTGGCCAGCAGTCCCTTGGTTAAAATCCAGCCGCTGTTGCTTAGGTGGAGGTGGAGTGGCGTCGGCTGAGTCTCTGTGGTCTTAGTTACTAGCTTCGTCCCAGCATGTTGTTTTTGCAGATGTTTTAAGAGATTTGAATGACTGGTTTGGGCAGTAGGATCTTTGACCCGCCAAGACACAACTTACATTTAACTAAAACGTTCTTTTCTTTGTGCTCGACAAAAGTGAAATAGTGAGAATATCTCCAGGTGGAGAAACTAGACTTGAGCTCCGCCGCCGCCATGACAGTCTTGTTAGTAAACAACACAAACACGCCCACAGCGCGTCTCCGCATGTGACACAGGAAGTATCTAAGTACATTTACTCAAGTACTTTACTTAAGTACAGTTCTCATCTCTGTTCGCCTGGCTGTTGACTATATAAAAAAACTAACGCAGTAACGGAGTAACGCACCATGTAGTAACGGTAACTGAGTTACTGAATTACAAAAGTTATGCGTTAGAGTACTGCCAAGAATAACGGCGTTACAGTAACGCGTTACATTCCTTTAAAAGACATACACACACATGTTAGTTCTCTTTATGCCAGTGTTTCATACCAAGGACCACTTAGCCAATAACAAAAACACTCGCGGACCACCTAACTCCACAAATATAAAAAAACATCGTTTTTCTAGAACAGATTACAAATGGCCTGAAAATGGTACAAACACGTGGCAGCATGTGTGACGAAGGTGTTGCCCTGGGCTATATCATGCAATCAAAAGTGAAACTTAACCTCGCTCCATTGCGGAGATATTCCCGCGAGAGTGCGGAAAACTGAAAGGAATTATTTATTTCAAATGTGAAATTTTACCAATATACTCACGGACCACTAGGGGGCGCGGACCACACTTTGAGAAGCACTTTACACTAATGTCTGTTTTAGTGTTGAATTAGCATGGCAACAAGCTGCTTTCTTTGGCTGTTTGTGCATGTCGTTACAGAGTCTGTTCCTACGGGGGTATTTAGCGCTTGCAGCTCCTTTGAGGCACTGCAACAAAAGTTAGCACAGGTAGGACACCAAAGCAGCAGAAAGCAAAAAGTGTGTGCAACATTTGCTTTCTGTTTCAACGTGTTCCTGTCGGTCTGAAATAGCTGCATTTATTCTTGCTGCAAAAGACGATGATATAGAAATGTTGCGTCTGCAGGAGAAACTCAAATGTCCAGAGATTAGAGATACTCACACTGATATTAAGACACTCAGGATAAAAGCTACTGCAGCTAATTGGAATATTTTGTATGTGATGCTAAGGGGCGGGACATCTCTGAGCGGGTGACCAATCACAACAGAGCTCATTTATTTACATGTATTTGAATAATTGTTCAATTTCCTTATTTTTGTATGTATTATTTATGCACTTAAAAGCATGTGTCACACAGCATTGCAACCAAATAGACGCACACATGTACCTATACCCCGATGTCGTATTTCTATCATCGCCGATAGATAAAGTAAATGAAGACTAGAAAATCAATATAAAAGTCAGTTGTGCCTGGATGCAGATTGTAATCGATCCACCTGAGGCCGACAGCCAGATTTAAGCCGGTTTCAGTTTGATGTTGTCCACATGATTAGCCGCCCTCGAGTCCTTTGGGATGAATGCACTCCTACACTTAAATAAATCTCACTTTAACAAATATTTCAGGGTCAGCGGTAGAAAGAAATCTGCTTTACAGACGTGCAACACATATCAAATCCTCCACAGCAGCAGATCTTATTTACTGCATGCCATTTGTGAAGTGAATTTCCTCTCCGTTTGATCGTGTGAGCAAATGCCAACTTCTGCATATGAATAGGTACATCTGATGGAGATAAAAACCCGTTTCCTAGCCTGAATATTTGCATGTCAGCTGTTTTTACACACTTTGACGTCCCTGTGGTGCCCTCAGAGGAATGAGAGCTGCTTGTTAGGGTGCAGAACAGATAACGGCTCCTTTAACGGCCTCCAGCGGGCCTTGGAGTGTCAACCATGAGACTCTGACATTGAGCTTACATACACACACACACACACACACACACACACACACACACACACACACACACACACACACACACACACACACACACACACACACACATATCTGCATACATTTAGTGACAAACTGCTGGTGATAAATGAGCCTCGGTGTCCAGGTTGGACGGGGAACTTGTCGCTCAGTGCTCGTCACGTTCAGAGAAGATTTGGTGTTTTGAGAACTGCAGCTTTTCCTGTCTTTGCAGATAATCGATTTAGTCATTTTACATGAAAAACTGGCCCAAATATGGTTTTGAGCCTCACAAAAACTCCCCTTTTCTCTGATTCATATTATATTAAAGGTCCCATGTCATGCTTTTCTGGTTATCACCCGTCCCCTTGTGTTATGAAGGTTTTTCTGCATGCAAACGGTCTGCAGAGTCACAAACCCTCAAAGTACACCCTGCAGCGAGTAAAACTCTAACACAGAGAAGACCTGTCTGTGCTGCCCCAGAACGCCTCGTTGGACATTTCTCTTTTTCCATTGTTTACTTCTTGGGTATAGTGACGTAACATAACGGCTCCGCAGATTGGTCCAAATTGACCAATCCGCGGAGCCGTTACGTTTGGACCAATGCGCGGACTTCCTCACACACACACACTCGGCGGGACGTTGCGAGGCTCGCTGCTGCGAGGAGACACAGCGAAACCCAGCCCGAAACACACACACACACCCGCAGCCTGGCTGGGAGTTTGTGTGTGTGCCCAGGCTGAGTTCTGCGGTGTCTCGCTGTCTCGCTGACCCCACACCAGTGAGCCAGCGAGTATATTACATGCTAAGCTTCACACAGGATGCCCTTCTGCCCTAATGCATGCTGGGTGTTTCTGTGAAACCTCCACTTAAAACAGGATGCTGCCCACTGTGTGAAGAACTTTTTAAAAAGTGCTGTGAGCAGTTTTCTCCTCTCCTGGGAGAGCGGCTGCTGGCGGAGACGATCCTTCACGTCTCGTTTTGCCCGAACACACAGAGACAATAATCAGTCAGTGTGTGAGAGCCTGACAACCAGCGGAACTAACGCCACCTCAGGGACCCTCTCTGTATCTGCATCACAGCAACACACGCAAGGATGCACACACACTTAGAGACATGATGCACATGCACACACACACACACACACACACACACACACACACACACACACACACACACACACACACACACACACACACACACACACACACACACACACACACGCACACACATGATGCACACACACTTAGAGACACGATGCACACAGACACACACACACACACACACACATACACTTAGAGACATGATGCACGCCACGCACACACACACACACACACACACACACACACACACACACACACTTAAATACATGATGCGCGCACGCATGCACACACACACATACCATGTATACATCACTTCAGGGGACATTACATTGCATTACATGCATTTCCTGGAGACTTATCCTAACCTTAACCATAACCAACACATGCCTAACCCTGACCCTTAACCCTAATCCTTACCCTAAACCTAACCAAGTCTTCACCCTAAAATTAATGATTCCCCTCATGGGGACCTCCAATTTGTCCCCATAAGGGAGGCGAGTCCCCACACGTGACTGTGTAAACAGATGTAGGTCCCCACAAGTATAGTAATGCTAGGCCACACACACACACACACACACACACACACACACACACACACACACACACACACACACACACACACACACACACACACACACACACACACACTTCATAGTACATAGTCTCCTGCCGCCTCACACACACCTTCTGAAACACACACACTCTGTAATCCCTCTTCAATAATGCAGACTCAATTACCGAACAAGGTTTGCGACACATGGATATTAAATATTGAAAGACTCCCGCTGCACATGACGGCTGCTCCACAAACACGCCTTGCATTCTTCAAAAGGACATCCATAGATTTATCCTGAGGCTGTTTTGACCATGTTTGCAACGTCGATAAAAACACCTTAGAAACTCAGATTTATCGACGCAGTTGAAGTAAAGTACGAGTCAAAATTGCACTTTAAAATGTAACTCGCTTTTTCTTTATTAATGGCTTTTAGTTTCAGTTCAATATGTTTAAATCTAGTATCTATCTAGTATTTTGTCTATGATTTGGATCAATTGTCATCCATATTCAGCTACAAACAACATTAGGTTGATTTCAGTAGGGTACGGAGATATATAGTACATCAAATATCCCCATATTTAACAACTAAAAACCTTTATCGATATTTTAAGGTTGACACTTGCTGCTTAATGAAATATTAAAACAAACAAATACATAACTTGACTTAAACACAGTCTTTAAACCAGGAAAGATAAACACTTATGCCATCTTGTGATAGGACAATATCCAAAATGTGAGACGATGTAAAGTCTTATATCTCAATGTCATAAAAACCGATGTATTACAAAACATTATACTCCAGTTTCATTGACTGCTATAAAGCCAAACTACCATGGAAACGTAAGACTATCATTATTCCTTTTTAACTGAATAGATAAAACACCTGATTATATTAAGAAACTGGAATATTTCAAACATTATATTTGAATGAATGCCTCTTCCTAACCATGAAAACATGATACAGCTGCAAATATTAGACAAGTATTAAACAAAAATAACTTTTTTGATAATATAATTGGTAATTTTACATTCAAAACTGGCCTAAATATGGTTTTTACACTCGCAAAAATAAAGATTCCTCTGTTTCATATTATGTTAAAGGAATTTTTCTTAAGGTTTCTATCAAAATAAGAGACATTTAAAAGCATCGACTCTGACACGGCTATTTCAGAAGGGCCTCTTGTACATCTTTTAACATTTACAGAAAACTTCCTTGACTTATATCCGCTGTAACTGTGGCCAGGTTCCCTTCCTCCAGCGGGCCAGCCTAGGTGGTGTTGCTTCCTGTGACCGAGGAGGATTTCGTGCTTCCAGTTTTGTTCTGGTTGCACCTTAAGAGTTTCAGGGTTTGATGACGGAAGGTCTTGTCCAACAGGAAGTACATTAAAGGGTCCGTGGATCCTCTCAAAGCGGCCAAAAGCAGCAAACAGTTCTTCAGCTGGAGGAAGAGGAGAGAGAGGAGATGTATTTGTTAAAGAGGACATGTTGTGCTGATGTTCAGGTGTCCAGTGTGCATCTGGACCCGGTGACAACATTACCTATTGACGCAGCAACCACTGTAAGTTATATTCTTGTTTAATTAGACTTCTCGGTTTCATTTATTCGACTCTGTATAATTGTTACTGTAGCTAAAACGGCTAAATCGCTTTTGAGAGATTTTAAATCTCAGATCTGCTCAGGCGAAACCTGCTTTACAGCTCTCAGCACTCAAGCCTGCATTATTAACATAGGCAGGGCCAGTCTATTGATTGCGTGAAGTAGAACTGCGTGACTCAGTCATCCTTTAGCTCAAAAAGCATTTAAATACCGCATTTAGAAACTGATGAACTCAGTGTGCATCTGGACCCGGTGACAACATTACCTATTGACGCAGCAACCACTGTAAGTTATATTCTTGTTTAATTAGACTTCTCGGTTTCATTTATTCGACTCTGTATAATTGTTACTGTAGCTAAAACGGCTAAATCGCTTTTGAGAGATTTTAAATCTCAGATCTGCTCAGGCGAAACCTGCTTTACAGCTCTCAGCACTCAAGCCTGCATTATTAACATAGGCAGGGCCAGTCTATTGATTGCGTGAAGTAGAACTGCGTGACACAGTCATCCTTTAGCTCAAAAAGCATTTAAATACCGCATTTAGAAACTGATGAACTCAGTGTGCATCTGGACCCGGTGACAACATTACCTATTGACGCAGCAACCACTGTAAGTTATATTCTTGTTTAATTAGACTTCTCGGTTTCATTTATTCGACTCTGTATAATTGTTACTGTAGCTAAAACGGCTAAATCGCTTTTGAGAGATTTTAAATCTCAGATCTGCTCAGGCGAAACCTGCTTTACAGCTCTCAGCACTCAAGCCTGCATTATTAACATAGGCAGGGCCAGTCTATTGATTGCGTGAAGTAGAACTGCGTGACTCAGTCATCCTTTAGCTCAAAAAGCATTTAAATACCGCATTTAGAAACTGATGAACTCAGTGTGCATCTGGACCCGGTGACAACATTACCTATTGACGCAGCAACCACTGTAAGTTATATTCTTGTTTAATTAGACTTCTCGGTTTCATTTATTCGACTCTGTATAATTGTTACTGTAGCTAAAACGGCTAAATCGCTTTTGAGAGATTTTAAATCTCAGATCTGCTCAGGCGAAACCTGCTTTACAGCTCTCAGCACTCAAGCCTGCATTATTAACATAGGCAGGGCCAGTCTATTGATTGCGTGAAGTAGAACTGCGTGACTCAGTCATCCTTTAGCTCAAAAAGCATTTAAATACCGCATTTAGAAACTGATGAACTCAGTGTGCATCTGGACCCGGTGACAACATTACCTATTGACGCAGCAACCACTGTAAGTTATATTCTTGTTTAATTAGACTTCTCGGTTTCATTTATTCGACTCTGTATAATTGTTACTGTAGCTAAAACGGCTAAATCGCTTTTGAGAGATTTTAAATCTCAGATCTGCTCAGGCGAAACCTGCTTTACAGCTCTCAGCAATCAAGCCTGCATTATTAACATAGGCAGGGCCAGTCTATTGTCGCCCATCAGCTGTAGATAGTTAACTAATTAACTTCAGCTGTGAGAACTGAGCAATCAGGCGTCCATTTCGGGTAGCTCTTTCCTTGAGCGGCAGCTTCAGCGGCAGACAGGCTAAGACTGACAAAGACATTAGAGTCCTACGGGAGTAAGACTGACAAAGACATTAGAGTCCTACGGGAGTCACGAGGGAGGCAAAGAGGAGGCAAATCCTACTTTGATTGAGCTAAGTATCGTTGGCGTTTTTAATTTTTACTTTTGTTGTTTAGCCCCTCATGCTATAATCATGTGTATTTTCTCAATTCCTGTTCATGTGTCTTCTCGCAATTATCACTGGCCCCGTGTATCTCCTAATCGATATAACCGGCCTGCTCTCGTCTATCCCACGTGCTCCACTGAGATCCAACATCTAGTTTCAGGTGGCCTGTGGAACTGCCAGTCAGCTGTTCCTAAGGCTGACTTCATCTCTGGCTACACCTCCCTGCAGTCTCTGGATTTCCTTGCTCTCACTGAGACCTGGATTACTCCATCCAACACATCCACCCCAGCAGCTCTCTCCACTGCATATTCCTTCTCCCATACACCCAGACCCACTGGCAGAGGAGGTGGCACTGGTCTCCTGCTCTCTCCCAAATGGAGCTTTTCCCTCTTCAAGCTACCTAACTTTACTCCTTCCACCTTTGAGTTCCATGCCGTCACAGTAACCCATCCTATACAGTTAACCATTGTTGTTCTCTACCGTCCACCAGGCGCCTTGGGGGACTTCTTGGAGGAATTAGATCATCTCCTCTCACACATCCCTGAAACTGGCCCTCCCGCTGTACTTCTCGGAGACTTCAACCTCCAGATGGGGAAGATAGACGAACTAACATCTCTGTTAACCGCCTTTGCTTTCTCACTGTCTCCGTCCCCACCGACTCATAAAGCTGGCAATGTCCTTGATCTCATATTCTCAAGGAACTGCGCTACTTCTAACCTCTCTGTAAACCTGCTCCACACATCCGATCACTTCTTCATTTCATTCTCTCTATCCCTTTCCAAACATAACAAACTAATCTCTTCCCATCCTACACTTGTCCGCCGTAACCTTCGCTCCCTCTCTCCCTCTACCTTTGCCTCGTCGGTGCTCTCAGCCCTCCCCTCCTCTGATTCGTTCCAACTACTGCCTCCAAACTCTGCTGCAGAAACTCTCCTCTCTACTCTCTCATCCTCTCTGGACTCGCTCTGTCCTCTCACATCTCGGCAGGCTCGTCAGTCCCCTCCGGCTCCCTGGCTAAATGATGCACTGCGTGCTAATAGAACCGTCCTTAGGGCAGCAGAGCGGAAATGGTGGAAATCCAAACACCGTGACGACCTCCTAACCTATCAAGCTCTCCTCTCCTCTTTCTCTGCTTCGATCTCTCAGGCAAAAAGCACTTTCTTTCAAGATAAGATCCAATCTTCCTATTCCAATCCTAAAAAACTATTTTCCATCTTCTCCACCCTCTTGGACCCTCCAAAAGCTCCTCCCCCCTCCTCACTTCTGTCAAGCGACTTTGTTACCCACTTTGAAAAAAAGGTTAATGATATTCGCTCTTCTTTTTCTGACTCACCTTTACTCACCGCTGGGTCACCAGACCTTCCTTCCACCAACACACTAACCTCCTTTTCCCCTCTCTCTCCAAGTGAGGTTCTTACCCTCATTACCTCTGCCCGCCCTACCACCTGTCCTCTGGACCCTATCCCTTCAAACCTCCTTCAGACTATCGCTCCTGATATTCTACCGTTTCTCACCCATTTCATCAACACTTCTCTAACTTCTGGTCACTTTCCAAACAGTCTCAAGGAGGCATGAGTAAACCCTCTCCTAAAGAAACCCACTCTCAACCCGTCTGATGTTATAAACTACAGGCCTGTCTCTCTCCTCCCGTTCCTGTCTAAATCACTTGAACGCGCTGTCTTTAAACAACTCTCCTGTTATCTCAATCAGAACAACCTTCTGGATCCGCACCAGTCTGGTTTCAAGGCAGGTCACTCCACAGAAACTGCTCTCATTGCTGTCACGGAGGAACTGCACACTGCCAAAACTGCATCCCTCTCCTCTGTCATCATCCTGTTGGACCTGTCTGCTGCATTCGACACGGTGAATCATCAGATCCTCCTTCGCACTCTCCAAAACTTGGAGTTTCTGGCTCTGCACTTTCCCTCCTCACCTCATACCTGAAAGACCGTACCTACAGGGTGACTTGGAGAGGGTCTGAGTCCGACCCTTGTCAATTAACTACGGGGGTCCCTCAGGGCTCTGTTCTTGGTCCCCTCCTTTTCTCCTTGTACACAAACTCGCTCGGATCAGTCATTAGCCCGCATGGTTTTTCTTACCACTGCTACGCTGACGACACCCAATTAATTCTGTCCTTTCCCCGCTCAGAGACCCAGGTCGTCGCACGCATCTCTGCTTGTCTAGCTGACATCTCTCAGTGGATGTCTGCTCACCACCTCAAGCTCAACCTTGACAAGACTGAGCTGCTCTTCCTCCCGGGAAAAGATTGTCCAACTCTTGACCTGACAATCAACATCGGCACCTCAGTTGTTTCCCCCGACTCAGACTGCAAGGAATCTGGGTGTGACCCTAGATAACAACCTGTCCTTCACTGCAAACATCGCTGCTACAACCCGCTGCTGCAGATACACGCTTTACAACATCAGGAAGATACGTCCCCAGCTGACTCAGAAAGCGACTCAGGTTCTGGTCCAGGCTCTCGTCATCTCACGCCTAGACTACTGCAACTCCCTCCTGGCTGGTCTACCTGCATGTGCCATCCGACCTCTGCAGCTCATCCAGAATGCAGCGGCTCGTCTGGTTTTCAACCTTCCTAAATTCTCCCACACCACTCCGCTCCTCCGCTCCCTTCACTGGCTTCCGGTAACTGCTAGAATCCACTTCAAGACACTGGTACTTGCTTACCGTGCTGCGAATGGATCTGGCCCTTCCTACATCCAGGACATTGTTAAACCGTACACCCCAGCGCGTGCACTACGCTCTGCATCAGCCAAACGACTCGTTGCGCCCTCGCTGCGAGGGGGACCCAAGTTCCCATCGGCGAAAACACGTGGGTTTGCTATCCTGGCTCCAAGATGGTGGAATGAGCTCCCCATTGACATCAGGACGGCAGATAGCTTGCACATCTTCCGGCGCAAACTGAAAACTCATCTCTTTCGACTCCACTTCGAGCGTTAGAACGATTAACGAAGCACTTTTATACCAATAAAGGACTGGATTACCTAAAGCCAGTTGAGTAGCACTTGAAATGTTTGGCTCTATGAAACCTGATATACTTATATGATTCTGTTTTCTTCAAGGTTGTGTCTTCCTGGTCGAATGTACTTATTGTAAGTCGCTTTGGACAAAAGCGTCAGCTAAATGCAATGTAATGTAATGTAATGTAATATCAGTATGTAGTGTCTCTACTTTAAAGAGTCCTCTCCTGCTGATGTTCAGGTGTATATCAGTATGTAGAGTCTCTACTTTAAAGAGTCCTCTCCTGCTGATGTTCAGGTGTATATCAGTATGTAGAGTCTCTACTTTAAAGAGTCCTCTCCTGCTGATGTTCTGGTGTATATCAGTATGTCGTGTCTCTACTTTAAAGAGTCCTCTCCTGCTGATGTTCAGGTGTATATCAGTATGTAGTGTCTCTACTTTAAAGAGTCCTCTCCTGCTGATGTTCAGGTGTATATCAGTATGTAGTGTCTCTACTTTAAAGAGTCCTCTCCTGCTGATGTTCAGGTGTATATCAGTATATAGTGTCTCTGCTTTAAAGAGTCCTCTCCTGCTGATGTTCAGGTGTATATCAGTATGTAGAGTCTCTACTTTAAAGAGTCCTCTCCTGCTGATGTTCTGGTGTATATCAGTATGTCGTGTCTCTACTTTAAAGAGTCCTCTCCTGCTGATGTTCAGGTGTATATCAGTATGTAGTGTCTCTACTTTAAAGAGTCCTCTCCTGCTGATGTTCAGGTGTATATCAGTATGTAGTGTCTCTACTTTAAAGAGTCCTCTCCTGCTGATGTTCAGGTGTATATCAGTATGTAGTGTCTCTACTTTAAAGAGTCCTCTCCTGCTGATGTTCAGGTGTATATCAGTATGTAGTGTCTCTACTTTAAAGAGTCCTGTCTTGCTGATGTTCAGGTGTATATCAGTATGTAGTGTCTCTTCTTTAAAGAGTCCTCTCCTGCTGATGTTCAGGTGTATATCAGTATGTAGTGTCTCTACTTTAAAGAGTCCTGTCTTGCTGATGTTCAGGTGTATATCAGTATGTAGTGTCTCTACTTTAAAGAGTCCTCTCCTGCTGATGTTCAGGTGTATATCAGTATGTAGTGTCTACTTTAAAGAGTCCTCTCCTGCTGATGTTCAGGTGTATATCAGTATGTAGTGTCTCTACTTTAAAGAGTCCTCTCCTGCTGATGTTCAGGTGTATATCAGTATGTAGTGTCTCTACTTTAAAGAGTCCTCTCCTGCTGATGTTCAGGTGTATATCAGTATGTAGTGTCTCTACTTTAAAGAGTCCTCTCCTGCTGATGTTCAGGTGTATATCAGTATGTAGTGTCTCTACTTTAAAGAGTCCTCTCCTGCTGATGTTCAGGTGTATATCAGTATGTAGTGTCTCTACTTTAAAGAGTCCTTTCCTGCTGATGTTCAGGTGTATATCAGTATGTAGTGTTTCCTCCTAGGAAAGAAAGATGGAGTCACCTCGACTAAGATGGAGAATGGATGGCACTGTTTACAGATGTTTGGTCCCGGTAAATATCTCAGCTGTCGTTGGTCGTTAGCCAGAGAGATGAAGATGGGTTTGTAGATGTGATACGGCAGCAGACAAACCGAGAGAACAACCTGAGAAGAGATGGTTTAAAAAAAGAAGGTTGTTATGGATCTCAATCTGTAGTTTTGTAGTTTCACGCCTTCTTCAATACAGCATGTTGTTCATTTAGTCAATTATGGTCCAATTTAGAGTAAAATAGACGATATAACAGTCTGTTAAGGGGGGGCTTTTTGACAGGCTAATTAACGATATATGTTATAATTATGAGTTTGGGACTTTCTTCCCGTCAACCTCTATGAAAACCAATATTCAAAGTGCGAGATTGATAAGATAAGATGGACTTTTATGAATCCCTCGTGGGGAAATTGTTTCTCTGCATTCGACCCATCCTAGTTTTAGGAGCAGTGTGCTGCCATTTTGAACGGCACCCGGGGAGCAGTGTGGGGAACGGTGCCTTGCTCAGGGACACCTCGGTAGCACTTGGTCTTGCCGGGACTTGAACTGGTGACCTTCCAGTTGCCAAGCCAAGTCCCTATCGACTTCGCCACCACCGATTGTAAGCAAGTGTCCAATTGGAAGCTATACGAAAATGGTGGAAATAGTGCTAGAAAAACACAATTTAGCTCGCGACACAAAACACCAGTATTTTGACATAAGACAGACTTCCCCTACTAATTGTGCCTTTTTGAAGACGTTACTTTAGAGTAGGATACTGTATATGCCTCACACTCACCTGTATGACCACGATGTTTCGTAGCACCCTCCCCAGCAGACTTTGGGACGTAGTGACGTTCGTGCTTTTCCGTGATCGCCCAATATGCCTCAGAACCATCATATAAGACATCAGAACCAGCAGGTAGAAGAGGAAGAACAGAGTAATCACGATCACGGCCAAACCAGCAGAAAGTCTTCCTCCGATCTCCACCGTTGGGCTGTAGCAAACCTCCGTACATGCAACAACAGCTTTTTTCACGCTCACCGCTTCCTTCATGGAGTAAATAACGGTGACGGGTACCACGCATCCGATAGCCACCGACCACACGACGATGCAAACTCTGTTGGCGAAGGATGTTCTCTTGAGGCGGGCGAAGAAACCGTGAGGAAGAAAGGCGATGCACCGGTTGGGTCTGGAGGCGTGGGTGTGCTGGAAGAGGAAAAGAAAGACAAGTGTTAGATGCTTTACAATAATGAAAGACATTAAGAGTAATTAAGTCTACTTGTGTGCCAGCTGTGTGAACCTGGACATGTTGAGTAATGTTGGCATTATAGTCTGTCAGGGATGGGCTGCATGCGGCCCCACCTCCTCTTTTTGCGGCCCTCAGATTAATTTATAAACAACGTAATTTATTTATTTATTTTTGTACTTGTAGTACTGATACCGTCCACTAGACTCCTAGTTACGTTGCGAACTGCGTACACGATTTCGTTCGGCAGCTAAATACCGCAAAATAATCTGTGACGCGTTTGTGTGTATTGTGTTTGTTTCCCGGGGAAACACTCACAAGAAACACCGGCTGTTGTTATGCCCATAGATATATATAAACACAACAACAGTGTTTATATATATATATATATATATATATATATATATATCTAAGGTTACGCCTGCTGTGACGTTAAGTTACCGCTTGTAATTATGCAGTTACAAGCTTAAAGGTTGTTTTTATCATCTGAATTTGGCGAAACAAGTTTAATATTCTAAAAACCAAGACTTTGTTTATTTGAAATCAGATGAAAGCAAACTGTCACGGACCCTGCCGTGTTATCTATGATTACTACGCTTTTCATTCATAATGTCAGCGGGAGGGAGGGGGGCGGCGCTGAGGAACAGCAGAGTGCGGGAGGGAGGGGGGCGGCGCTGAGGAACAGCAGAGTGCGGGAGGGAGGGGGGGCGGCGCTGAGGAACAGCAGAGTGCGGGAGGGAGGGGGGGCGGCGCTGAGGAACAGCAGAGTGCGGGAGGGAGGGGGAGCGGCGCTGAGGAACAGCAGAGTGCGGGAGGGAGCGGGAGCGGCGCTGAGGAACAGCAGAGTGTGGGAGGGAGGGGGAGCGGCGCTGAGGAACAGCAGAGTGCGGGAGGGAGGGGGAGCGGCGCTGAGGAACAGCAGAGTGCGGGAGGGAGCGGGGGCGGCGCTGAGGAACAGCAGAGTGCGGGAGGGAGCGGGGGCGGCGCTGAGGAACAGCAGAGTGCGGGAGGGAGGGGGAGCGGCGCTGAGGAACAGCAGAGTGCGGGAGGGAGGGGGAGCGGCGCTGAGGAACTGCAGAGTGCGGGAGGGAGGGGGAGCGGCGCTGAGGAACAGCAGAGTGCGGCTTGACGGGTGTCTGTGTGGACACTCCTCTTATTGTGTCTTAGGTTCAAGTTACACAGCTAATGTCTGGGTAGTGTTCATGACTTCATGTGTATGTCATCTTAATGGTTAATCTCAATGCACACACATTTTCCGTGCTTTCCATTAGTTTAAAATAGTTGTATTCCACTGTTTAATAACCTGTTCAATACAAACATGCCACTTGTAAACATTAAATAACATTTCTGTGAACTGTGACTGTGTGCATCCTGTCTCTAAGTGTGTTGTGTGCATCATGTCTCTAAGTGTGTGTGTGTGTGTGTGTTCCAAGTGAATCTGCGGCCCCCTGGTGGCCAGTACATCAATTATGTGGCCCCCACCACCATCCAAGTTGCCCATCCCTGGTCTATGTGGGCAATAGTCTGAAAGTGGCTTGGCCGATTTGGACAATTTTGAAGTGGTTTTAAAGGATGATGAATCAATTTCTGACATTTGTAGGATCAAAAAGGGCAGTTGTGAGTCCCCTAAAACCTTAAAATGTACAAGAAATGTGTCAAAATCCGCCCACCAGGAGTACAAATATGGCAACTTTCTTAATTTTTTCATTTTAACATTGGATATATATTGCTTTGTTTAACGAATGCCTTTCTCTAAAATGCAAATTGGATATTTGTATGACAACTTGTACAGATGTAATGTCCCGCTGTGGTGGAAACAGGAAGAACTGGTTCACACTGGTTCCGAACTGGTCCTGGACCTGGTTTGGTTGGAAAAGGGGTATAATAATAGATATTGTTTTAGTCACACCTGTATGAGGGAGGCGAAGCGGCTCAGCGCCACCCAGGTGAGGATCATGATGCTGATGTAGATGTTGATGTGCAGAACCGGGGTGATGCCGTGAAGAACCAGCTGACACAGAGCGCTGCTCAGCGTCCAATCAGAGCCCCACGCGTAGTAAGCGGCCAGGAAGGGAGTGGTGAGAGATAGAATCAGGTTGGAGATGCTCAGATGAGACAGGTAGACGTGGGTGGGGGAGACGGTGGAGATACAGCGGAGAAACACCCACAAAGAGAGGATGTTCCCTGGGAGAGCGGTGAGGAAGAGGAAGGTGTAGGCAGAGGGGAGGAAGAAGAGGGTGGTGAAAGTGGGACAAAGGGAGAGAAAAGAGGAAGAGAGGGAGGAGTTATCCAGAGGGAAAGGGGATGAAATGTTCTCCATTTGATCTGAAGAGACACAAAGTGATGGATGAGAAACACGTGGAGGATGTTTGTTAAAGGTCCCCTATCATACTGTTCTTCATCAATATATCACAGGTCTCAGATATATACAGAGCCTGTCTCTGATTGGCTGAAACACCAAACAGATCATAGCAGCATTACCCATAATCCCCTCTGTTTCAGCCCTGTTTCCAAAGTGCTGATTCTCTGTCTGTTACTTTAGATGAAAATAAGGAGCCCCTCCCCACGCCCCTCTGAGAGAGATTTGGTTACAAAGAACTCAATGGTGCTCTAGGAGGAGATTCAGGTGATAGGGGGGGGGGGGGGGACATGAAGAAGAGGGGACACATGTTGATGTAGAAGAGACATGGAGAAGAGGGGACACATGTTGATGTAGAAGAGACATGGAGAAGAGGGGACACATGTTGATGTAGAAGAGACATGAAGAAGAGGGGACACATGTTGATGTAGAGGAGACATGAAGAAGAGGGGACACATGTTGATGTAGAAGAGACATGAGAAGAGGGGACACATGTTGATGTATAGGAGACATGAAGAAGAGGGGGACACATGTTGATGTAGAAGAGACATGAAGAAGAGGGGACACATGTTGATGTAGAAGAGGACATGAAGAAGAGGGGACACATGTTGATGTAGAAGAGACATGAAGAAGAGGGGACACATGTTGATGTAGAAGAGGACATGAAGAAGAGGGGACACATGTTGATGTAGAAGAGACATGAAGAAGAGGGGACACATGATGATGTAGAAGAGACATGAAGAAGAGGGGACACATGTTGATGTAGAAGAGACATGAAGAAGAGGGGACACATGTTGATGAAGAAGAGACATGAAGAAGAGGGGACACATGGTGCTGTAGAAGAGACATGAAGAAGAGGGGACACATGTTGATGTAGAAGAGACATGAAGAAGAAGGGACACATGTTGACGAAGAAGAGACATGAAGAAGAGGGGACACGTGTTGATGTAGAAGAGACATGAAGAAGAGGGGACACATGTTGATGTAGAAGAGACATGAAGAAGAGGGGACACATGTTGATGTAGAAGAGACATGAAGAAGAGGGGACACATGTTGATGTAGAAGAGACATGAAGAAGAGGGGACACATGTTGATGTAGAAGAGACATGGAGAAGAGGGGACACATGTTGATGTAGAAGAGACATGAAGAAGAGGGGACACATGTTGATGTAGAAGAGACATGGAGAAGAGGGGACACATGTTGATGTAGAAGAGACACGAAGAAGGGGGGACACATGTTGATGTAGAAGAGACATGAAGAAGAGGGGACACATGTTGATGTAGAAGAGACATGAAGAAGAGGGGACACATGTTGATGTAGAAGAGACACGAAGAAGAGGGGACACATGTTGATGTAGAAGAGACGTGAAGAAGAGGGGACACATGTTGATGTAGAAGAGACATGAAGAAGAGGGGACACATGTTGATGTAGAAGAGACGTGAAGAAGAGGGGACACATGTTGATGTAGAAGAGACATGGAGAAGAGGGGACACATGTTGATGTAGAAGAGACACGAAGAAGAGGGGACACATGTTGATGTAGAAGAGACATGGAGAAGAGGGGACACATGTTGATGTAGAAGAGACACGAAGAAGAGGGGACACATGTTGATGTAGAAGAGACATGAAGAAGAGGGGACACATGTTGATGTAGAAGAGACACGAAGAAGAGGGGACACATGTTGATGTAGAAGAGACATGAAGAAGAGGGGACACATGTTGATGTAGAAGAGACATGAAGAAGAGGGGACACATGTTGATGTAGAAGAGACATGAAGAAGAGGGGACACATGTTGATGTAGAAGAGACATGAAGAAGAGGGGACACATGTTGATGTAGAAGAGACATGAAGAAGAGGGGACACATGGTGATGTAGAAGAGACATCTTTAAAAAAAGTCTTAAGACTTGTTTCTGACGTTGCAAAGTTTAGTCTAAAGGTTCATCCCAAACTCCTTTAAAACGTCTTAAAGTCATTGCATTTTTTTCATTAAATCAACGCTTTTGACATTAAAGTAGGATTTCTTTAAATAGTTTTTTCCGATGCTGTTTTTTTTAACTTTAAATATCTTCTTTTTTTATTTGATATGCCGAATAAACATAACTATTGTTAGGCAGATTCAGAAAGAGGAACATTTTGCACACAATTGACATATTTCAATCTAGAAATAATACCTTCAAACGTTTTAGAAATGCTCGGACGTGGGTCATAAATACATTTATTTTGACGATGAATTGTCTTAGTAATTATAAAAGGATCTTATCGATGTATGTCTGCACACATTTGGGCTTGAATTTAAATCCAAGCAATCTAACATTTGTATTCAAATGTCAAATCAAAATGCTTAAAAAAACCCTCCTATTATTATTTGAATCTACAACCCTTTGCTCCTGTCTTGTAACCAACAAATGAACCCAAAATATCCTCCAATTCGTGTTCATAAGAAATATATATGTCATGCTATATTCAAAGAACGACGTATGAGCATGTTACGTTAATCTACCTCTCTATAAACTAAGATGAAAGCCTTTCAAATCGAGTTATTTCAGGGTGCAATCATTCATATACGTACCTCTAGCAGGAGCTCCGTCCAGGTCATTGAAGAGCAAACGGCTGCAGTTCTTCAAATGTTATATTCACAGCTAAAAGAACAACTCTGGCTCAATGTGAATCTTTTCTCAGACTTCCTGCTTTTTAACGGTACTTCAGGGTTTGTGTCATTTCATATCAGAGCTGCTCTCATGTAACAAGACATGTTGGCGTCTCTCGCTATTTCAGGTTCCACTTCCTCAGTTACGCTGTGTGTTGATGAGAGATACGGTTTAAGAGGTGAGGGTCAAGCTGAGATGCGTGAGTATTTTAGTACATGAGATGTGTGGTGCATGTTCACAGCAGCGCTGTATCAACATGAGAGCTGGTGACACTTTTTAAAGTTTTAGAGACGCCCTGTTTACTTCCCTGTAGTGTGTGATACAATGTTTTTTTTCACTTGGACTCCTGTGTTTACTTCTGGACCTTAATGACATCACTGTGTAACACTCGCACTTCTATTGGCTATAGCGCTCCATCACATTGTACTTGATAGGCTAGGGGGGCGGGACAGCTCTAAGCTGTTGACCAATCACAACAGAGCCGAACATACATACATCTGAACATCAACAGAAGAGGACTCTTTAAAGTAGAGACACTACATACTGATATACACCTGAACATCTGCAGGAGAGGACTCTTTAAAGTAGAGACACTACATACTGATATACACCTGAACATCAGCAGGAGAGGACTCTTTAAAGTAGAGACACTACATACTGATATACACCTGAACATCTGCAGGAGAGGACTCTTTAAAGTAGAGACACTACATACTGATATACACCTGAACATCAGCAGGAGAGGACTCTTTAAAGTAGATACACTACATACTGATATACACCTGAACATCAGCAGGAGAGGACTCTTTAAAGTAGAGACACTACATACTGATATACACCTGAACATCAGCAGGAGAGGACTCTTTAAAGTAGAGACACTACATACTGATATAACTGATACATCAGCAGGAGAGGACTCTGTAAACATCAGCAGAGAGGACTCTTTAAAGTAGGACACTACATACTGATATACACCTGAACATCAGCAGGAGGGACTCTTTAAAGTAGGACAGACATACTACATAAGGGATAGACAGCTAAGGGACAAATACTGATATACACCTGAACATCAGCAGGGAAGGACTCTTTAAAGTAGAGACACTACATACTGATATACACCTGAACATCAGGCAGAGGGGGGACTCTTTAAAGTAGAGACACTACATAACTGATATACACCTGAACATCAGCAGGAGAGAACTCTTTAAAGTAGAGACACTACATACTGATATAGACCTGAACATCAGCAGGAGAGGACTCTTTTAAAGTAGAGAACTACATACTGACACTACATACTGATATAGACCTGAACATCAGCAGGAGAGGACTCTTTAAAGTAGAGACACTACATACTGATATGCACCTGAACATCCACAGGAGAGGACTCTTTAAAGTAGAGACACTACATTACATTACATTACATTGCATTTAGCTGACGCTTTTATCCAAAGCGACTTACAATAAGTACATTCGACCAGGAAGACACAACCTTGAAGAAAACAGAATCATATAAGTATATCAGGTTTCATAGAGCCAAACATTTCAAGTGCTACTCAACTGGCTTTAGATAAGCCAGTCCTTTATTAGTATAAAAGTGCTTTGTTAATAGTTCTAACGCTCGAAGTGGAGTCGAAAGAGATGAGTTTTCAGTCTGCGCCGGAAGGTGTGTAAGCTATCTGCTGTCCTGATGTCAATGGGGAGCTCATTCCACCATCTTGGAGCCAGGATAGCAAACCCACGTGTTTTCGCCGATGGGAACTTGGGTCTCCCTCGCAGCGAGGGCGCAGCGAGTCGTTTGGTTGATGCAGAGTGTAGTGCACGCGCTGGGGTGTACAGTTTAACCATGTCCTGGATGTAGGAAGGGCCAGATCCATTCGCAGCATGGTAAGCAAGTACCAGTGTCTTGAAGTGGATTCTAGCAGTTACCGGAAGCCAGTGAAGGGAGCGAAGGAGCGGAGTGGTGTGGGAGAATTTAGGAAGGTTGAAGGACCAGACGATAGCCGCTGCCATCTGGATGAGCTGCAGAGGTCGGATGACGCATGCAGGTCAAGACCAGCCAGGGAGGAGTTGCAGTAGTCTATGGCGTGAGATGACACTACATACTGATATACACTGAACATCAGCAGGAGACGTACTGCTGTTAAAGTAGAGACACTACCATACTGATATACACCGGTAACATCAGCAGGAGAGGACTCTTTAAAGTAGAGACACTACATACTGATATACCCTGCACATCAGCAGGAGAGGACTCTTTAACGTAGAGACACTACATACTGATATACACATGAAACATCAGCAGGACGAGGACTCTTTAAAAGTAGAGACCACTACATACTGATATACCACCTGAAACAATCAGCAGGAGAGGACTCTTTACAAGTAGAGACACTACCATACTGCTCTACACCTGAAACATCAGCAGGAGGAGGACTCTTTAATAGTAGAGGACACTACATACTGATATACACCTGAAACATCAGCAGGGAGAGGACTCTTTAAAGGTAGAGACACTACATACTGAATACACCTGAACATCAGCAGGCGAGGACTCTTTAAAAGTAGAGACACTACATACTGATATACACCTGAACATCAGCAGGAGGAGGAGGACTCTTTAAAGTAGAGACACTAAATACTGATATACACCTGAACATCAGCAGGAGAGGACTCTTTAAAAGTAGAGACACTACATACTGATATACACCTGCACATCAGCAGGAGAGGACTCTTTAAAGTAGAGACACTACATACTGATATACACCTGAACATCAGCAGGGGAGGACTCTTTAAAGTAGAGACACTACATACTGATATACACCTGAACATCAGCAGGAGAGGACTCTTTAAAGTAGAGACACTAAATACTGATATACACCCCAACATCCACATGAGAGGACTCTTTAAAGTAGAGACACTACATACTGATATACACCTGAACATCACAGACACGGAGGACTCTTTAAAGTAGAGACACTACATACTGATATACACCTGAACATCAGCAGGAGAGGACTCTTTAAAGTAGAGACACTACATACTGATATACACCTGAACATCAGCAGGAGAGGACTCTTTAAAGTAGAGACACTACATACTGATATACAACTGAACATCAGCAGGAGAGGACTCTTTAAAGTAGAGACACTAAATACTGATATACACCTGAACATCAGCAGGAGAGGACTCTTTAAAGTAGAGACACTACATACTGATATACACCTGAACATCAGCAGGGGAGGACTCTTTAAAGTAGAGACACTACATACTGATATACACCTGAACATCCACAGGAGAGGACTCTTTAAAGTAGAGACACTACATACTGATATACACCTGAACATCAGCAGGAGAGGACTCTTTAAAGTAGAGACACTACATACTGATATACACCTGAACATCCACAGGAGAGGACTCTTTAAAGTAGAGACACTACATACTGATATACACCTGAACATCAGCAGGGGAGGACTCTTTAAAGTAGAGACACTACATACTGATATACACCTGAACATCAGCAGGAGATAACTCTTTAAAGTAGAGACACTACATACTGATATACACCTGAACATCAGCAGTGGAGGACTCTTTAAAGTAGAGACACTACATACTGATATACACCTGAACATCAGCAGGAGAGGACTCTTTAAAGTAGAGACACTACATACTGATATACACCTGAACATCCACAGGAGAGGACTCTTTAAAGTAGAGACACTACATACTGATATACACCTGATCATCAGCAGGAGAGGACTCTTTAAAGTAGAGACACTACATACTGATATACACCTGAACATCAGCAGGAGAGGACTCTTTAAAGTAGAGACACTACATACTGATATACACCTGAACATAGCAGGAGAGGACTCTTTAAAGTAGAGACACTACATACTGATATACACCTGAACATCAGCAGGAGAGGACTCTTTAAAGTAGAGACACTACATACTGATATACACCTGAACATCAGCAGGAGAGGACTCTTTAAAAGTAGAGACACTACATACTGATATACAACTGAACATCAGCAGGAGAGGACCTCTTTAAAGTAGAGACACTAAATACTGATATACACCTGAACATCAGCAGGAGAGGACTCTTTAAGTAGAGACACTACATACTGATATACACCTGAACATCAGCAGGGGAGGACTCTTTAAAGTAGAGACACTACATACTGATATACACCTGAACATCCACAGGAGAGGACTCTTTAAAGTAGAGACACTACATACTGATATACACCTGAACATCAGCAGGAGAGGACTCTTTAAAGTAGAGACACTACATACTGATATACACCTGAACATCCACAGGAGAGGACTCTTTAAAGTAGAGACACTACATACTGATATACACCTGAACATCAGCAGGGGAGGACTCTTTAAAGTAGAGACACTACATACTGATATACACTGAACATCAGCAGGAGAGAACTCTTTAAAGTAGAGACACTACATACTGATATACACCTGAACATCAGCAGGAGAGAACTCTTTAAAGTAGAGACACTACATACTGATATACACCTGAACATCAGCAGTGGAGGACTCTTTAAAGTAGAGACACTACATACTGATATACACCTGAACATCAGCAGGAGAGGACTCTTTAAAGTAGAGACACTACATACTGATATACACCTGAACATCCACAGGAGAGGACTCTTTAAAGTAGAGACACTACATACTGATATACACCTGATCATCAGCAGGAGAGGACTCTTTAAAGTAGAGACACTACATACTGATATACACCTGAACATCAGCAGGAGAGGACTCTTTAACGTAGAGACACTACATACTGATATACACCTGAACATTAGCAGGAGAGGACTCTTTAAAGTAGAGACACTACATACTGATATACACCTGAACATCAGCAGGAGAGGACTCTTTAAAGTAGAGACACTACATACTGATATACACCTGAACATCAGCAGGAGAGGACTCTTTAAAGTAGAGACACTACATACTGATATACACCTGAACATCAGCAGGAGAGGACTCTTTAAAGTAGAGACACTACATACACACCTGAAAATGTGTTTAAATGTGTGAATACATTTTAGGCTTCTCAGATACCCTCTTCTTTATTAAGGCAGAGGTCAAACTAACTAATACTGCAGTGTGGAAATACTCTTATATACACATTTCTAAGTACCTGTTCCTCCTCTAGATGGCGCTGTTGTTCTAGTTCTATTTTTGGAGCATATTCTCCTCCCTTCTGTCAAACTGTAGATAATGATTGACACACATGACACCAACTAGAATGACGTAGTAAATAAAAACAACCTGTCGTCACCCTCCTGAGTATGAAAGCATGTTCTTTACATATCAGAGAAGCTCCTGACTTTTACCCAGTGTTTTTATATTTCTGTCGGTGACGTCAGACGCTTTCATCTCAGTAAAAGCTCCTCTGGGTTTTCTGTGAGCTTGTGATCTTTGTAATTTGTCGTGAAAGTCCAGGCTTTGAAGTCGCCTGCAACTTATTTCCTTTCACATTTGCGTGAAGGAAAAATGTCACACTCATTATCTGCAGGGTTCGGTTGCTTTTATTCCAGCAGTACTTGATCTCAGATTCCGTAAAATCATTTTCTTGGTGATCCCAATTGTATGATAGTGTCTTGTTCCACAGTGGGAAATATGAAATTAACTTTACCTGCAACAAAAGGTCCCTTTACTTTGATCCAGACTGAAATATCTCAACTAGTTTTTGATGTATTGCCCTGAAATATGGAGACAATTAAGCATTGCACCAGCAGGTCAAAGAGTTAAGCATTGTTTTTGCAGTTTGACAATAAATATGGCTTTTTGTGACAAAATGACAGAATAGCTACAGTATACATGTTTGACTCATTTATCTCATACATATCGTTTATTCACTCAAAATGGAGACGTGAACTTCGTGAAGTGATATAGTTCCTTTATAGCAGGCGGGTCAAACTCAAACACACAGTGGGCCAACATTTAAGAAATGGGTGCTAGTGGAGGGCCGGACTGGTTCAATGTTTCTTGCAGAACTTATTGAAATGAACTTATTGCAAATCTTAAACCTGGAACTAACAAAGCTTAAATGATCGCCTATAAAAACAACATTACATTAAATAATCAGTTGCATTCATTTCTTATGGCTCTATCTGCAGCTTTCCAGACTCATTTCTTATGAGTACATTTTCCCACAGGCCAACAACAGCTTCAACAAAACTATTCCCCTCACAGAGAAAACCAAACATGCCCTGTTGTCCTGAGAGAGAAAGTGCAGAAGGAAGCATCCATTGAACTCAGTGTGCTGCTCTGTGATGCTAGCTCAGATACTTGGCATCTCATCTTGGGTGCAAGGTCATCAATGTTTGGGCTCAGGCTCTGAGCGGAGGAGACCCTCAGGATGGAGTGAAGGTGTGCGTGCAATATACCGGCGGGCCAGATCTAATAGGAATTAGAAATTATCCTGCGGGGACGAAATTAAATCCACCACGGGCCTGATTTGGCCCCCGGGCCTTGAGTTTGACACATGTGCTCTATAGCCTAACATTAGCCACCTTTAGCTTGTTTATGTATTGAGGCAGCCCCCTGGATGCTAACTTGGTCTACTTTAATACGTCATCACTGGGTTGTCTCCTCCTTTAATTGGCTGCTTAATTTTATGTTCGCCTGTCCTCTCTCTGACCTAAAGTTCTCCACCGTGGAGCTGCTACCGCTAACCCCATTAGCATCTCGCACACAGAACACGCTGCTCACCAGGCGCAGAACCTCCTTCCTCACAGACGAAGACAACAGGAAGTACATGACGGGGTCCAGGCAGCTGTTCAGGGCCGAGAAAAGCAATGCCACCTCGTTAGCTTTATCTGCCACGTCCCTCCAGATACACGCCGTATCTGTGATCTGCGTTTTTATGTAGAAAACCCGGACGATGTGATATGGGACGAAGCAGACGATGAAGAGGAAGAGGATGAAGAAGGACTTCCTGGCGGTGCGTTTGTATCGGGCGGCGTTGGGAAGGTCTGGTTTCTCCTTTGATCTCCTTTGGAGTTTGAGGGCGATCTTGGCGTAAGAAACCACCAGAGAGACAAAGACCAGCCAGAAGAGAACCAGCATGCAGATGTTGATGTAGGCTTTCCACTTCGCGTTGTGAAGGAGCTTGTAGTGGAAACATCTGGAGGCAGAAAACAGGGTCGAAATGAGTCAGGATAAATACTTTTATTGGCTGATAACTTGTCAAAAACATATCCCAGTCCACAGCCTTCCAGCATATTCAATCCTTGACCTATTTGCTTCAAAATCAGGCGTTTTGTTTAAAGACAGACATATTTTTCTAGTGTTATCAATCTGCAGACCACACTCAGGACGGACAGACGTGCAATAGATGTCGTGTGTAAATTGAAAAGATACTACATTTACAACATAGGTAGTCCAAATGCTTGGAAATGCATGTGTCTATGGTTAAGAAGCTGAATCCAGGTGGATGTCAACAATCCTCTGGGAATAACTACTTTTATTGGCTGATAACTTGTCGAAAAACATACTGCATTTCAGAGGAGAGTCTACAGCCAATCAGCGTCTTCAATCTCTGACTTAATTGCTTCACAACCAAGCGTTTTTTTTTAAAGACAGACCAAGATAAAGAATTGTTTATAGTGTTGCCAATCTGCAGACCGCACAGAAGCTGGTACATTTAAGTCTGTGCTTTTTACACTTTTATAAAATCCTTATTCCTAGTTTCTTAGGTATGTGTGCGAGGGTAAAGGTCGCACAGTTTAACATGTTTCTACATTATTCATTAAACAGGCAGTTTCAGGACTGAAGCTGTGAAAGAGCACAACTTTACTGGATCGATACAAAACTAATACTTCATTACCGTACTTAAGTTCATTTTTCTGGTATCAGTACTTTACTCCACTACTTATTTTTCTGAATACTTTCTACTTCTTACATTTTGAACACAAATACCTGTACTTTCTACTTCTCACATGTTGAACTCAAATACCTGTACTTTCTACTTCTTACATGTTGAACACAAATACCTGTACTTTCTACTTCTTTAAATTGTTGAACTCAAATACCTGTACTTTCTACTTCTTACATGTTGAACTCAAATACCTGTACTTTCTACTTCTTACATGTTGAACTCAAATACCTGTACTTTCTACTTCTTACATGTTGAACACAAATACCTGTACTTTCTACTTCTTACATGTTGAACTCAAATACCTGTACTTTCTACTTCTTACATGTTGAACTCAAATACCTGTACTTCTACTTCTTACATGTTGAACTCAAATACTGTACTTTCTACTTCTTACATGTTGAACTCTAAATACCTGTACTTTCTACCTTCTTACATGTTGAACTCAAATACCCTGTACTTTCTACTTCTTACATGTTGAACTCAAATACCTGTACTTTCTACTTCTTACATGTTGAACTCAAATACCTGTACTTTCTACTTCTTACATGTTGAACTCAAATACCTGTACTTTCTACTTCTTACATGTTGAACTCAAATACCTGTACTTTCTACTTCTTACATGTTGAACTCAAATACCTGTACTTTCTACTTCTTACATGTTGAACTCAAATACCTGTACTTTCTACTTCTTACATGTTGAACCAAATACCTGTACTTTCTACTTCTTACATGTTGAACAAATACCTGTACTTTCTACTTCTTACATGTTGAACTCAAATACCTGTACTTTCTACTTCTTACATGTTGAACTCAAATACCTGTACTTTCTACTTCTTACATGTTGAACCAAATACCTGTACTTTCTACTTCTTACATGTTGAACACAAATACCTGTACTTTCTACTTCTTACATGTTGAACTCAAATACCTGTACTTTCTACTCTTACATGTTGAACACCAAATACCTGTACTTTCTACTTCTTACATGTTGAACTCAAATACCTGTACTTTCTACTTCTTACATGTTGAACTCAAATACCTGTACTTTCTACTACTTACATGTTGAACACAAATACCTGTACTTTCTACTACTTACATGTTGAACACAAATACCTGTACTTTCTACTACTTACATGTTGAAAATACTTTCTACTTACCTGTACTTCCTTCTTACATGTTGAACACAAATACCTGTACTTTCTACTTCTTACATGTTGAACTCAATACCTGTACTTTCTACTTCTTACATGTTTGAACACAAATACCTGAACTTTCTACTTCTTACATGTTGAACTCAAATACCTGTACTTTCTACTACTTACATGTTGAACACAAATACCTGTACTTTCTACTTCTTACATGTTGAACTCAAATACCTGTACTTTCTACTTCTTACATGTTGAACACAAATACCTGTACTTTCTACTTCTTACATGTTGAACTCAAATACCTGTACTTTCTACTTCTTACATGTTGAACTCAAATACCTGTACTTTCTACTTCTTACATGTTGAACTCAAATACCTGTACTTTCTACTTCTTACATGTTGAACACAAATACCTGTACTTTCTACTTCTTACATGTTGAACAACCAAATACCTGTACTTTCTACTTCTTACATGTTGAACAAATACCTGTACTTTCTACTTCTTACATGTTGAACCCAAATACCTGTACTTTCTACTTTACATGTTGAACCCAAATACCTGTACTTTCTACTTCTTACATGTGAACACAAATACCTGTACTTTCTACTTCTTACATGTTGAACCCAAATACCTGTACTTTCTACTTCTTACATGTTGAACTCAAATACCTGTACTTTCTACTTCTTACATGTTGAACACAAATACCTGTACTTTCTACTTCTTACATGTTGAACTCAAATACCTGTACTTTCTACTTCTTACATGTTGAACTCAATACCTGTACTTTCTACTCTTACATGTTGAAACAAATACCTGTACTTTCTATCTTACATGTTGAACTCAAAATACCTGTACTTTCTACTTCTACATGTTGAACCAAATACCTGTACTTTCTACTTCTCACATGTTGAACCAAATACCTGTACTTTCTACTCTTACATGTTGAACCTCAAATACCTGTACTTTCTACTTCTCACATGTTGAACCAAATACCTGTACTTTCTACTTCTTACATGTTGAACTCAAATACCTGTACTTTCTACTTCTTACATGTTGAACAAATACCTGTACTTTCTACTTTCACATGTTGAACACAAATACCTGTACTTTCTACTTCTTACATGTTGAACCAAAACCTGTACTTTCTACTTCTCACATGTTGAACCCAAATACCTGTACTTTCTACTTCTCACATGTTGAACCCAAATACCTGTACTTTCTACTTCTCACATGTTGAACTCAAATACCTGTACTTTCTACTTCTACATGTTGAACCCAATACCTGTACTTTCTACTTCTACATGTTGAACTCAAATACCTGTACTTTCTACTTCTCACATGTTGAACTCAAATACCTGTACTTTCTACTTCTCACATGTTGAACTCAAATACCTGTACTTTCTACTTCTTACATGTTGAACTCAAATACCTGTACTTTCTACTTCTTACATGTTGAGCACAAATACCTGTACTTTCTACTTCTTACATGTTGAACACAAATACCTGTACTTTCTACTTCTCACATGTTGAACTCAAATACCTGTACTTTCTACTTCTTACATGTTGAACTCAAATACCTGTACTTTCTACTTCTTACATGTTGAACTCAAATACCTGTACTTTCTACTTCTCTCATTTCCCAAACAGCTGGTTCCTTTAGTCTGAATGTGTGTTTGATGCGTGATCATTATTCTTTAGAGTCATTGCCTATTGATTTGAACACGATCCGTGTATCCATCATTTCCTGGTCTTCTCTAAAGAAGAGGGACCAATGGAAACGTTGTCATGTTGCCGTTGTTCAGCATGGAAACATTCATTAGCTAACAATGACATTATTGTTCTATTAATATAAAGGGAGGTCAGGTACTCTTTAAAGCAGCTGCTAGTTATGGGTACTTTTTACTGAAGTACATTTCAAAGCCCTCTTTACTTTCACTTGAGTAAAGAAGTTTAGTCAGGACTTCTACTTTTATCAGAGTATTTTTAAACACGAGTATCTGTACTTCTACTTGAGTAAAGGATGTGTGTACTTCTACTTGAGGAAAGGATGTGTGTACTCTTGCCATCTCTGCTGCTTGGACCAATACAAATGAAAGTGGAATTCTGTGACCCACCTGTCTTGCTCAGAGTGGTTTTTCGACACCATGAGCACCGTGGTGAAAGTGAAGGCGATGATCCAAACCCCCGCACACAGAAACCAGCTCCCCCTGGTGGACCGCAGCCGGTACTGCACCCCCGTCCCTCTGTGGATCTTCAGGTACCGATCCACGCTGATCAGACCCAGCAAAGTGACGCTTATATACATGTTCATATAGAAAAAATTCCCTACTACTTTACACAGCGTGGGTCCAAGCGTCCACTCGTTCCCTCGGCTGTGATAAAAGATTCTGAACGGCAAACACACAACCAGCAACAGATCAGCGAACGCAACGTTTATGAGGAACACCCGCACAGAGTTTCTTCTTGAGCTAACGCAGAAGAAGACCCATAAAGCCACGAGATTCCCAACGAGTCCCAGGATGAAGATTATAGAGTAGAGAAACCGCCAAAAGGCTCTGAAGCGCCTTCGGATCCACACAGGACTCGTTGTCGGGATTTAGGAACCGTTGGGAGTCTGGGAAGAGATGTTTGTGGTCATGGTGGCTTCTGTGATGGTCGTTCCTAGAAAATAAAGAAACAGAAATGCTTTATTGTGGGGGATATTTACAGAGTTACAGCAGCAAAGGGACAGTGCCAGCTAAAATTAGACATTTAAGTACATTTGATTGTGTTGAAACTTTATACTAAGCCACTTAAAGTGAGTGCAATAAACCATGAAGATCAAACTCGGACAACGTAATCCTTCAAGTACATTTGCTTCAAAGCCATATTACTTTTAAGTGCTATTTTATTAGTCTCAATTTACCTAAATATAGTTAAGTACTACACGTTTGATCTATTAAGAGAAAAACATGTGCAATACTTTATTTGAGTTTTGGGTTTTTGTGACTGTTGCTCAATACACAAAATAATATACTAATAATAAAATAAAATGATGTTAAATAAGTTGAATTAAATTATATAAATATAATAACAATTACAATTATCATGAAATATTATAAAAGTATTACTTTAATTATATTAGTAATACATTATTTACTATGATTATTAGGTTAAATAAAAATCGTGATAATGTATTTTAATTATTATTATTATTATTATAGTAGAAATAAAAGACGGTTTACAAGCAAATAAATAAAATAATAACAACATACATTTAGAAAGTCCTAAGCCAAGAGGAGGAAGTAGGAGAAGACGGGTAGAGGATATAACAGAAATATACTACACACAGTTATGTTTCAAATAAGTTCAAATGGAAAAGAAAGATTAAAATATTGATTGAAAGTGCAAGAAAACAACATTGCAGCCAAAGTCCCAATACATTTTAAAATTAAATAAAGACTACGTAGATCAAAACACCTGGCAAGGAAATGGATTATTATACATTAAATAAACGTAAAAACATCAATGCTAAAATGACTTTAAAGGGCGATGAAGCCATCTAAGGTCTAGGCTGACAGAGATTAGCCATCACAGATAAACTCTGTATATCTTTGCATGTGATGCTATCTTGGAGTTATGTAAAAAACAGATGAGTTGCATGAAATGTTGCAATAGTGCTGCAGAATCATTCCATCAGAAACAGAAATGCAACCCTCAGCAGGAAGCCTCATCTTGCAGCTCACCCTCGAGCAAGAAGGATTAAAAGCCTTGTTGCTGATGTGTTAAAACTCTCACCGATATCATTGAAGGTCCACTTAAAACGACGTTCTTTCTTCTTTGCACTTCCTTCCCGTCTTTTTCCATCCAGTTTACCCCCTCGAGTTTTTTAATCCATCTGAAGACTCTCCAACATGTCCTCATAAGTTTCACGATTGCTTTCCCGTCTGTCATCGTGTGCAGAACTCTGTGTTTCATTCCACCGAATGTAACTCCTTTGGTTTCCTCTCTGTGCAGCAAACCTCCCCGCAGCGCCGAGGACAGAAATACCAACCGTTTCTAAAATGCAACGTGTGCTTTATGTACGGAGGAAAGTTAAAGCTGTGGTCAGCCCCGCCTCTTTCTGCCGAATTGAGATTGAGACAGAAGACAGGGAGGGGTTTGAGCAGATGACAGAGGCACCCACTGGTGATCTAAACACAGTCAGTGGTGGAAGTAGAACATCTACCTTACAGCAGCGTTAAGCTCCACATATGCTGCAACTCTGACCCCACTGAAGTCCAGGCTGAAGACTTTTCTGTTTGCCGATGCTCTTAATTGAACTATTCACATCTCACACGGCACTGTAACTTTTATTTCATGTTCCTTTTGTTATTCATGTTTTATGATCGATGCTTGTTAGGCTTTTTAAATGCCATTTTATAATATGTGTCTTAATGTCTGTCATGTTTTAAAGCACTTTGAATTGCCTTGTGTTGAAAGGTGCTGTGTAAATAAACGTGTCTTATATTGACCTTCATTAGTTCAGATAACATGTCATATTTATTTTTGAGGAGTTTAAAGAGAGACTTGGTTTTTGGTTGAAGAGGCCCTATCGTGCTCGCTGTGGCTTTTCCCTCTCCTGTTGTGTGTTATATACAGTAGGGTTTAGTGCATGTAAATGGTCTGCAAACGCTCAAATCCCTGTTTTCCCTCGAGGGGGGAGTTTGTGGACTCCTTTGTTTACTTCCTGAACATAGTGACATCACTACAGAACACTCACACTCCTATTGGCTAGCGCTCCAACACATTGTACCTGATAGGCTAAGGGGTGGGACATCTCTGAGCGGTTCTCCAATCACAACAGAGCCGGCCAGCTAACCAATCAGAGCAGACTGGGCTCTGGTTTCAGACAGAGGGTGAAAAGAGGTGCTGCAGCACAGGCAGTATGAGAACAATAAAGAGCTTTTTGAACATTAAAGCCGTGAAGACGAAGTCGATCTGTAGAACGAAATAATAATGAGAAAAATGGCCTTCTTTAATTTTGTGCAATATATAATGAAAAGTAACGATTAAGTAGCTTCCCCCCAGGGTTTGTAGTTATTAAACCATCCTCAGTACAATGTGACTTTGTGGGACTTTTTTTTCCAACCACCTAGGCTAGAAGCGCGTTCTGCTTAAATATAATTTGCAAGTCGATTAGTTTTTCCTCAAGGAATCCCTTGTATTTCTTCCCGTTTCTGTTCAATGTAGATAAATACCTTCTTGTTCAGACGCAAATCTCTTTAGTGAATCAGCACATTATATCTAACCCAACTGAGATCTGAATGTGCAATCTGTCCTTTCTGCATCCTCCCCTCCTGTGTGTAGAGGGTCGATGGTTTTGGGAGTTAGTGTCTTTCACATGTGTGTTCTTTTCCTGCTCTAATTTATAGGAGGGTGTCTCTCTCTAATCAGGACTAACAAGCCTTTAAAATGTCTCTCTCCTCTGCCTCTCCTCTGATCTAGTCTCTCTATCTCTCTCTCTCTCTCTCTCATCTCTCCTACCTCTCCCTCTCCTCTATCTCCTCTCTCTCTCTGGTTCTCAGCCTCACTGCGTGCTGCTCGCCTCCAAAGAGAACTCAGCTCCGGTGAAACTCGGAGGATTCGGAGTCGCCATCCAGCTGGGAGAGTCTGGGCTGGTGGCCGGAGGTACAGGACACACACCTGCACACACACACCTGCACACACACCTGCACACACATCGGCACACATACATTAATTGTGTTTATATATACATTTTTCTTATTACATTTTTGTTTTTGATTATTTCATTAATCAGGGATAGTGTACATTAATAAGAGTTAGGCCAATATAAACATTTTGTTAACTCTAGTCCATTGAAATGTTTTAAGATCACGCAAAAAACTAAAATAAACGTGAATTAAAATCTTTAAAAACATGCAGTATAGAGGCTCAAAATACAGGACATACATGCCCACAATAAAGACCAATGAAGAGTTTCTGACTTAAGGAGTGACTTCCAGTATTTCTCTGCAGAACCAGCCACTTCTGGCCTTTCTGTGTGACTCACCAGTGAAGCCTCAAAAGGAGCTAACAGCACTCTCTCTGAGGCCAAAAAACCCCTGACATTTGTTCATTAAACAATTAAAATAGGAGCGTGAGATAAGCTCAGTTTGAGGTGTTGTAAAAGTCCCAGTGTTGGTTAGGCCTCTATAAACACATTGCTGTTTTTATTGACCAATCAAATTAAAGTACCGACTCCAAAAGGTGTAGTAATCAAAACGTTTTGGACAGAGTTAGGAGACAAACAAGTCAATTAAATACCTTCATATATGTGTGTTTATTCCTTCGAGAAATCTACAGCTGCGGTGATTCATTCAAACTAAAAGAGGTCACTTTGAGGTCTCAGCAACACAGATTCTCTTCCCTTTGCACATTACAAACCAGAACATGACATTTAAGATTTAAACCTTGATGTGAATCACGTTATGAAGGAGAAGGAAATCCACCTTTAGTTCCTCTCTGGTTTTTAACAATGCATTCATAAAAAGGGATCAGATATTCTCCAAGTGCAGCAAAAACACTTCCTGATTCTCCAACGTCAGCTCTTTAACCTTATTTATTAAACACTTTCAACAAATATGCAGCCCAAAATGCTTCACATAAAGACTTACAGATGCCATAATAATATGTTGGGAGAAAGAGCAACATTTAAGAAGACGTTTGCAAGGCTTTAAGGTGGGCTAGGTAATTCACTTCAGAAACACTTGTTATATTCCATGGAATGCTCTAAACATCCCGATAGCAATGAATACATGAAATGCTTTGACAATAAATACATAACAACATATCATCAGTGGAAGCCGTGGCGCTGTAAAAAGCACGACCAATCATCTGAGCCGGCTAAAGTAACTGGATGGCCTACCTGCCTGTCAGCCTTCCATCTGGGCACAAACTTATCTCGTGCCCTCATTGGTCATGTGCGCGTTCGTGTGTGTTGGAGGAGGGGCTCTGAGGAAGTCTGAAGGAAGGGGCCGATCTGTTCCGGTTGCATACTTTCAAATTCTAGCGCACTCGAGCTGGTTTCTCCATTCTTACCTACCGTACCTTTAAATCTGCACTAAAAGTCAATAAATACACTAAAGATAAGGGAGTAAAGCTAAGAAATAATACCGTCACAAGGACCGATACACGAAAACATTCCTGCAATAACTCTATACAACAAATCTCCTCACACTGTACATTTTACATTTATGTTCAATTGAATATTAAATATTCCATTCCTTACACACTTAATGTATATATAATACCCTGCTTTATATTTTGTTACTGTACATTTGTATTTAAAAATGTATATTGATTTTTTTTTTGTAATGCTATTTTATTCTATTTGAGATGTTTACATTTTGGAATGTTTATTTCTAGTCTTTTAATTTCTCTTATGTACAATGCCTTGCCTTTTGATGCTGCTGCAACGCAAACATTTCCCAAATTGGGATCAATAAAGTACATCTTATCTTGTCTTAATATGATTTTAAATTCAATGGAAATAAATCTAGTTAAGGGACTATAAAAATGAAACATTTGCAGCAATGTGTGTTTCACTTGTCTGTGGATACTTATAGATGAGTACACTAGAAAGAGCTCTGAAAGAATATAATATGTTTATTGTACGGTTACGTGCCGCTTTACAGAAGCACGTTGCCCATAAACTACATGTCCCACAATGCATCTCATTTTGTGACATGACCACTGAAGAGACTTGCAATTATTTGCCGTGGACTACTGCTGTCAGACGTAGTTAATTATGAAGTTATTACCCTATCCGATAATATTCCAATGCAGAGGCAATAATGTAATATAATACATTATTTTATATATATATATATATATATATATGTATATTT